CTGGTCCTATTTGCAATTACAGAATCATCTCTAAATCAAAAGATCCTGGAATTGAGTGCTACCCACCATCCTGCAATTCAACTATTGAGTTGCTTTCTTATTAAATTATTGAAAGGTTAACCTTACAAGTTTATTTTTTTAAATAATTTATATCTCTTTTTTATATAATCCTTAAATCCTTAGTTTTGAAAAAAAGTTAGCAATAAGGGCTAACAATATCATTAAATATAACACAGTTTAAAACTGGTTTAGCTAATAATTATCATGCATAAGGAAAATACACTGATCAATATATCTTCTTGTCATAGCAGTTTTATTAATGGTCACATTGATACTAAGTCATGGGTAGACTGTTTCAGAGAACCGACATGAGAAATTTCTCTAGGCCACCTAACTTTGTTTTGTGGTTGTTATTAGCTTGCTTGCTAGTGTAAAAAGTTATCATGTCATCGTTTTTTCCTTCTGGCAAAGAGAATCTGTGTGGGGTACCCACATGCCATTCTACAACCTGTGACACCTGCACCTGCAGTTTCCTTCATCCTGCCACACAGATTATCCTCCCAGAATTTAGGCTTAATGATGAGAGTCCTTAATTAACCTAAATTTCTCAGGGATGACAGTAAGAAATACATACAGAGTCTTAACATTTGGGTTAGAAGCATCAGCTAAACATTATCATTGCTTCATCCATTATGATAATTCGAATTAACTCTTCTTAAACACAGAGAATCTGAGCTCTTTAGTGAACCAAAAACCATTCCAGCTATGAGATATATATTTCAAAAAAAATCTGTTTTTTTTTTTTAATCCCAGTTACCATGGCAGGTGCCCCTCAAAGGACCAAACAAAGATTGTAGGTTGACAGTATACCCCTCAGTCAATCTTAAAATGCACATCACTGAGCTTTTCACAGTAAAGACCTCCCCTATCTCACAAAGCCAGGAAATGTTCCTGAAGTTGTGACATGAAATTAAGGGCCACAAAATGAAGAGCTTAGGTGACAACTTCTATAAATAGATCTGGTAATAATAAAAAAAAAACTTTCTCAAAAATATTTTCAAAACATCTTTCCAGGTCATGTGACTTAATTATTGTCTAAGTGACTAAGTATTAGTCCCTATCCAAGAAGCTCTGGAAGAGCTATTTTAGTGAGAATTCAAGGCAGAAGGCATATTTCTCAAGTGTAAGGGAAAGCTGTAAATAAGAAAGGCATTTGGAAGAGAAATGCTGTTGCTGAGTTAGTCTCCTTAAAAAAAAAAGAAAAGGAAAGGAAGATTTAAAAAACCTTTACATAGATTACTTGGCAACAGTGGCTGTTGCTAGCCTTTCATCTCAAAAACAGTCTCCAAAATAAAGAGATAACCTAGAGGCTATTTGAAACAACAAAAACAAATCTCCCCTTCAGCAGAGTCATCAGTGCTGCAGCAGTATGGATGGCTCTGTACTAAGGCATACAGAAAAATTTTCTGCACACCAAAGCCTGGGTTTTCTTTTCTTAATGCTCATTCTTCTTGTTTCTACAGAAAGAACCAAGATTCTGGATGATAATGTGGTTTTAAGAGTCAATAGGGGAACTAATAGCCAAGATAAGCAAAAGCAGACTAATTCCTTTGTTCACTGGGGGTTTGGTATTTGGCATTTTGATACGTTAGTGGCTTAAAAGTAATTTTTCGGCTCCTTACGACCATAAAAAACAAATAATTCAAATATTTATAAACTAGGGGATTCATTATATATAATGAATTTGATAAATATCTATGTCACAAAAAGGATATGTTAAATGATGACATACTGTTTCCAGAAATGACAGTTGCCATTTCAATTTGCCTAAAGAATGTTTTTAATGAACATTATACCACCACTTCATAAGAGTGAAAGGTCTCCCAGTCATAATAACCTCTCCCACTACTAAGTGGATACTTTTTCCTCTGACACCTGCTCCCCAAACAGCATTTTCTCTGATGCCTTTCCCCTTTCCAGCCTTCAAACTTGACCTATACTTTTTTGTTTTCTTATTTATCTTCTTAATGCTATTATGGACATAATCAGACTTTACACAATGACCCTTGCAGGCACTCAATTCAACTAAATGACTGGCAGTAACCAGTTAATTTCGAGTCAAAAGCCAACAGTGTGTGATGGATGTCTCTCTATATACCTACCCTTAAAAAGTAGGATCCTATTCCAAGGACAAAGGGGAAATGCTCACATATAATGTGAGCTAATAAATGATACTCAGCAACTATTAGTTTGGGTTATTACTAAAAGGGATCAAATAATCTAACCAAAAAAAAAATACTGTCAGGACTAAATGACATTGATGACTGATTATGACCTTTCACTAGCGTAAATATAATAAATCTATCTCTACTAAGGTATCTATTTTTATTTTCTGACCCCAACACAGTCTGTCCCCTTTCCCATCTATACATATTCCAGCCATATATGGAGAATTTACCATTCCTCTCCTAGCATTCTAAAACTCCCTTACTGCTGTTTTCCAGAAATATGAAAAATGGACTTTGTAATGAAGTTTGGTCTTTGCCATTTTTTCCCAAAGCAAGACATTATAGAAAAATTACCCAAAAGCATAACCAAATGTGAGAGACACACAAACGGTTTTTAAGAAGACCACCATTTCTGTTTAAATAGATCACATTTACAGTCAAAAGGAATATTGTTAGATACTTCTAAAATAAATTAGGTATGTATATAGAAAATTTAAATAAAATACATTTCAATTTTTATGGCTATCCTGTTTTATACAGTATAGATGATGTGGCAGATAATGTGTTTAAGAATAAGTTAAGAAACTAGACAACCTACATTCAAATTTCAGTAGTGCCACTCTTTATTGTAGTACTTTCAGCAAGTTATATAACCTCTCCATTGCTCAGTTTCCTGTAAAGTGGGATAGTAGTTATAATTATTAGCACAGATTGTTTTGAGGATTGAATGCATATAAATTCCTTTGTCACATCATAAGCAATACATGTTAGCAATTACTGTTATTATATTACAATGATGATTAACTGGACCTGATAGTAACTGGAAACATCAGTTATCCAGATTACTTGCAGTTTTCAACTTCAAGACAAAAAACATCTAATAAAACAGCAAACTGCATAGTTAGTTTTTGGTCTTTTTTTTTTTTTTTTTGCTGTTATTAATCAGTTCCAGTTTGTTTCAAAAATCTGAAGCAATAATTCTCCAAATCAAAGTAAGACTTTGCCCCCAAGATAATGTGCCAGTTGAGGCTTCATGTTGAAATTATTTTGAAAGAACATAAAATACACCTAAAAATACTCCCTAAACTAAGGGACAAATTAAGAATTTACTTTTTCAATGAACTGGAAATAAATGTAAGTGGCAGATAATGTTACTAAACAAAAATTATCCTTTTTCAGTATAAATTCTTTAAGTAAAAATATTTTTAAATTTCTTTAAGGTAGTAGAAAGAAAGAACAGAAAAATATGAAATGCGACAGTCTTATAGTTGTATTTGACTCATAATGTATAGTGAAAGGGAAAGCCTGAGAAAATTCTGAGTCATTAATATGTAAATGAGAAATACCAGAAGCAACACCTCTGGAGCTTAAGCACAGAGGACAAGATAACAGAGGGATAGTAACGGGTCACTATCCTTGAACTGAACTAAGGCTTCAAAACTTAAAATGTGTTTCCTAGAAAAACCTAGAGGACAATTTCGAGTGATAGTTTTAAATGGTCTAGAAACAAATGGAGGTGGGTGACTAAAATTAAGGTGATTTTCTTCAAGGGAGAACCTTCTGCTGACCCTAAGGTTTGAATAATGTTTTAGATGAACTGTTTTCCAGGCTTGTTAGGCTTGGGGGCTAGGCAAACCAACAATGAAGAAAATGAAATTCTCAGTCTAGAATATCAGCAAAAACTGTGAGGCAAAGGCAGTGTTCTGAGTCTTATATAGGGATCCTAGTGATCTCAAGAGTGAAGTATGTTTATTGATGAAGTACATACAAGTTTCCGTAAAGGGGCTATTACTATAAAGACAGCTGATAGCTGTTGGCTGGACAGGCACTCCTGCTCATATCGGCGTTTCATCTTTCCACCTACAGACATAAAGGAAATGGACAGTGAACTGCCTATGTCCCTTCCTCTTTAATTTTAAAAAGAATTGTTATACTCTGCATTTAAAAAAGAGTATTATACAAAGTAGAGCAGTGAAGGCAAAGAAAAAGGGATGAGAATGAAAGTAGCCTGGTGATGCTAGATCTAAATAATTATTCCCAACTATAAGCAAAGTGGTTCCATCTTTGTGATACCTAGAAGAATTCTGATATCCTTTCTGTAGTAAGGCAGTGATATAAATCAGTAAGTCACTCAATTAATCAATCTTAACAAGTTTAGAATAACCTTCTGAAGGGACTGATGTAATTATTATGTATATTACTTGTAAAAATTAAAAGATGTTAGGTTTTTATCAGTCAGAGAATAGTACAGATGTAGAACGGTATTTACTGAAAAATGTCTCATTTTTTTCTGGATTTTTCTTTAAGATATTCCATGTACCCCACAAAAAAATAGGAGAGAAAAAGACTGTCACAATGTTTACAACTAATGATGCTGGAACATGGGTCCTTTGGAACTTGTTACCATTCCGCTGAATTGTCTGTAACAATTTTTTTTTCCTTTTTTGGTTAACATATAATTGAAAAAATAAATTCCCATCCTGTCACTTAACTAGGACAAGATAACTTTTTTGATGATAGGTAACAAAGTTTAATTTAAATCAAAAGTTTGATTACTGTACTATATTTAAATTGAAAAGCAGTGAATACAGACTTTAAAGGAAAATAACTTGGAGAAATGTTTACGGTGTGACACTATATTTACTTTTTAAAAGCCATGGAATAATGATGTATGATATCAACTGTGTAAAAAAATATATATAAATACCTAAATGCAAAAAAGGAAATAATCAAAATGGAAATTCCTGCCAAAAAAGTAGAAAGGCTACTTACTTTAACTTCTATAGTCTTCCCTCCATGTTCAATGTGTCTTTCTATGTATTCAGAAGACAGCAAATCACTGCAACAACAAAAAGAAATGATTAAGGAAGATCTTGAAAATGTAATATACTTGAAAATCACCATCAAGTTTACATTACCTGATTTAATGATTCTTTAATACAGATTTTAAAACAAAAATAAAACTTTAAAGGTCTGTCTCTCTCACACACACATACAAACATGCACAACACACATAACCTAGTACTCCTATAAGAATATCAGACTGAGTATCACCTGTCACCCTTTTAGCAGCAGAGCTAATTCCACTGCTCTAATCCAGCAATTCTAGGAAACTGCCATTTATTTACACCATTATTTTTATGTTTACATTATGTCAAATACTGTGTTTAGTTCCAAACACATGAAAAAAAGTTTAATGGAAGTGCCTCAAGAAATAACTTCCATAACAAAGTCTTAAAGTAGATAAACTTTAAAGCATGCAAAATCTGGGGTGTAGGTCAGAGATATGGGAGTGAGAGAATTCACCAGAGACAGAAGGGTGAGCAGAACAGGCCGACTGATGAAGTACACTGCTGAGGAGCATTAGGCAAGACAGGAGAGGTCTGCTGTGCCATGTAGGTCAGCAACCTGGCCAGGGCTCAAACTCATGCTCCAGTGGCTGTGGACAGCTCTATAGTGCCAAGACTCAACCCATTTGAACAACCAGGGAGGACCCCCAGAGATAAATTCTACTTGTGGCTTATTTTGATTAGAAAAAGCATGGAGCAGGTGTGGACGGCAGCAGTTCTTAACCAGGGTGATTTTACTCCCCTTTGTGCATTTGGCAATATCTGGAGACATTGATTGTCATGACAGGCAGGTAGCTACATAACTACAGGCATGTAACAGTTAGAAACCACAGAATTTGTTATATATGAAACAATTCATAAGATCTTCCCTAAGACAGAAAATTATCTCATCTAAAATGTCAGCATAGAAATTGAGATGAAAAAACTCTGTGTTACCAGTAGGTGGCTAAAAAACAATCAACTCAATCAAAGCTAGACAGAATAGCTAAATAACACTTTTCCAAAGAAAGAACATGAAAAGATGTTCACTATCATTTATCATCAGGAAAACACAAATAAAAAACACAATAAGGAAATGTCATTCTCATGAGAATGGCCCATATGGGGGGAAAATATACAGAAGCAACAAATATTGGCAAGGGCATGGAGAAAAAGCAATCCTCTTCACTGTTGGTAGGAGTGTGGACTGGTTTAGCTCCTATGGGAAACAGTATGGGGGTTCCTTAAAATATTAAAAATAGATCTACTATATGATCCAGCAATTTCACAACAGAGTTATTTTTTTTAATAATAGGCATGTCAGATGTTACAAATTTTCAGTGGTTTTAATAAAATAATGAAGATTAAGGTAAATATTTGCTTCCATTGCTCTTGTATCAATCCTAGCCTGTTAGCCAAGGTCATGCCTCAAACAGGGGTAGATATTGCAAAAGTCTCCCCAAACTTTGCTCTAAGACTCATACTACTTCTCTAGAAGTAGGGCCAAAAAAATTACCAAATATGAAGCAATGTTAATAGAAAAATCAGTCAAGATTTCTCTCTTGGGAACCTGAACTAGTAAAATTAAGCGGGGGGAGGGGGGCGCAGGGAGACTGTGAATGAAGAAAAGTAAAATGATAAAATGTGGCAGACACTTGAAATTGAATTGTGTCCATGGTGAATAAGAGAGTTAAAGCCCCAAAACACAACTGTTTATGGCCTTAGGTTCAGAAGAACCCATTGCATATGATTACATCACTGAAATCAAAAGTACCTACACAAAATATTCCTTAGGAGAGGATAAGTAGCAGTAGCGATGGTAGTAATAACAAAATTTTTAAACAAATTTTATGTCTACCAGGTTTTCAAATTTCAAGGGTATATTTTCCTATGAATAATAAATCTAGAAATTCACTGAGTCAGTTACTACATGAATATAATTATAGTGTAGAAAACCCTCTGCTTAGGAATTATGCAGCTATTTCAATCAAGTCTCTGTATCTACAAGTATTGCTGAAAAGGTTTCATGTAATTTAAGCCAAAAACAGAGCATGCAATTTGGTTTTGTTTGTTTGCAGTATTGTGAAAATGTGCTAAGCATTGTTATTTTAATTATTAGGCTGAAAAACCTATTCAAAATGTCACTTTTCCTCTAGTGAAGCAGAAATGCCTACCACCAACTTAGAAGCTAAGGTAATTTCCTTGAAGCCTTTAGAGATAATCAAAATCACCTTGTTATTTTTCCTTTATCATCACTCCTTATAGGTAAGGAACTACTTAAAGAATTTTAAGTGTAATAAAGGATCTCCTTAAAATATGGAAAATTTTATTTTACCATAAAACAAACTGATGAGACAGAATTCACACCCTCTTAGCAGCTTACTCAAAACTGATGTGTGAATGCTGCTTTGTGAATTTTGAAAAAGTGAAAAATCAAATTCCAAAATTCAGTCTTTCTAAAAGAAGTAGAGATATTTTTAAAATTAAAAATGTATGGAGTTTTTTAAATTCACATGCCATAAGCCTCAAAAAGCAACAAAAATATGTAACATGCATTTTCAGTCATAATGGAAGAGGGACAGGAGGGCCATCTCTGGGCCAGTGGGTGGCGCTCAGTCATCTTGAAGGCTGAAAAGGTGGAGCTTCTTAGAACACCTGGACTCCTTGTACAGCTGGCAACTAGGGGCAGAGTACAGTTGGCATGGGAAAGTTAAAAAGACTAGGCAGGTGGGCCTAGGTCTGTTTTGGGATTTCCGATTTCTGCCTGGTCAGCACTCAGCTGATGCTCTCTGCTGGCAGTAAAGACAGCACCATGCCATAAGCAAGTCAATCCATTTTCTTATCTCTTTTCTTTTCCTTTAGTCATTCCCTATATAATTAAATTCTTTAAATATTTAAAATTTCTCTTTGTATGTTGGCTTTTTTGAGTCTTGTCCTGTATTCTTAAGTGCATGGGAGAGAATTTGCAAATGAGCTCATTTCCTAATCGCCCCACCCCTGTTTTGCCCCTAACAATAATAAAGATTAGCTTTTTACTAGTGGGCAATTTTCATGAATCAGAGGCAGCTGGTAATATAAAGGTTTTGTAGTTTAAAAACCAAAATAAAAATTGCAGTTTCTCATCCAAAACTGCATTTTATTAGCTGTCTGACCTTGGTCAAGGTATTCAATGCTTATGAAAAAACTTTATAAACTCAGTATGATATTAAACCAGAACTTATATGAAATGCCTCTGAAATCCAGATTTCAATTACCCCAATCCCTAGTCAGAAACTCTGAGCCTTCTCTCTTTAGAACTCTCACATTAACTGTTTAGAGATTTTTAAACCATTAAACCTAGACATTCATGTCCATGAATACTAACAAGTAGCTCTGAGCAGATGCTGAACTGAAGCTGGTGAGCCATGGACCACCAAGGATAGAAATTTGATCAATCATAACTTGTACTTTCCACCAATTAGAACTGCACTCTGAAAATCTCTTCCATAAAGCAGAACTAAGTGTGAAATAGCCTGCCTTGTTTTGGTGCTTTTTTTTATTATTATTATTTTGTATATAAAACGCTCCTCACCCTGGGAAATTTGGGCATACAACTCTAGTAATTCTTGGGCTGTGTTACAGTCCTAAACCTGGAGTAAATTTCCTGGCTGTTATTGGACCAGGTTTTGATTGCTAAGTTTATACTCCCTTGTAGACACTAAATTTACTTACCCTTCCATCTTTTTCCTTTACTGTGCTCACTTGGCCAAACCTCAACTATGTTAAAACTTAACTTTCCTTATGACCCCAAGAAGTAAAGTGTGGTTTCAGGAATATTCATATGTTGCATTTATGACAATACTTGTCAAGTGATCCCGTTTACAATAACACTTTAAGTCTATGATAATTTCCTAGTTAGCTTACTCTGAGAAGAACCTTCCAACATAGAAAGATGGCAAATGATTTGTCTATTTTAATTTTTCAAAGAACCAGTTTTTTGCCTTCATTTATGTTTTGGATAGATGTTTTATTTCGATTCCATTTATTTCTGCTCTAACTTTTATTGTTTCCTTCTTCCTTCTGGATTTTGATCTTGCTTGTTCATCTCTCTCTAGTTGCTGTAAGATGAGAAATAAGATTAATTGAGTACTATTTTGTTTCTTGTTGTGGGTCTGTATTACTATATTCTTCCCTGTTAGTATAGTTTCTGTGTGTCCAACAGATTCCGGCAGGCTGTATCCTCATTTTCACTTGTCTTCTTAAGGTATTTTTATTTTCTTTAATTTCTTCATAACTGAATTGTCATTTAGTAATATACTGTCATTTAGAGGTTTTTTTTTTTTTTGGGTGGTGGTTGATTTCTAGTTTTATATCATCATGATCAAAGAAGTTACTTGATATGATTTCAAGCTTCATGAATGAATTGCTATTTGTTTTGTGTCCCAATATGTGGACTATCCTGGAGAATGTCTCATATGTACATTAGAAGAGTATGTATTCACCTTTTAACTCTAGAAATGTCCATTAATCCTATGTGGCCTAATTCTTTGTTTAAGACTGTTGTTTCCTTGTTTATTTTTTCCTGGGTTGGTCTATCTACTAATGAATATAGAGTCTTGAATATGTTTTTCAGATTTGAAAATAGCCTTATGTATTTAATGATCCTTCTTTTTGTGAATATATATTGGTAAGTGTTAAAGACTTCTTGATGTACTGTTCCCTTAATCATTATATGGTCTCCATCTCTTCTCTTGTTACTTTTTAAAGCTAGCAATCTGTTTTATTTGAAGCTACTATTTGGATGAAAATTTCATCTTATTACTATGCAATTTGTAAATATGAGAATTCCTTTCCTGCTTATCCATATACATGGGATTTTCTGAATGTACCTAAGGGTAAAGTTACTACAGTTACTTAGTAAATAATAATCTGATGGAAATTTTCAGGGAGCCCTCAATGTGTATGTCAGTACTAGAGTACCTTGAGTAAATATCATTAGGTAAGAGTTGAGAAGGACACTATCATTAATATT